ATCAGGCCTTGATGGCCGAGAACAGACATACTCACATGCTTCAAGGTTGGAATATGACTTGAACTAACCAAATCACCTTATACCTCATCAAATAGGCAAAATATAGAGCATATGTATAGCTTTTTAGGGATGTGCTGGTGAGTTTTCTTGATTAGTTAGCTTGAATTTGGTTGTAACGATGATCCTTGCTCTGATGACATTCATCATATGAAAGACGAAATCACCGGAATCGAAGGAGATCACCTCAGAAACAGTGTTCACATGAATGTTCCAGTAAATTCAATCTACAGCTGGTCAAGAGGAATCCGCCATCATCTTCTGGTGGAATCGACCTTCGAATCTCTTCACCAAACACTTCCACTCGAAATGGGAGTAAGCTCAACAATGACTAAATCTACTTAAAGTAACATACTTTTAGGTAACATTGGAGGATGCAAGATCACAGAATGTTGTGAATAGATAAGTTGGCGATATGAAGTGGGTTTGAGACAAAGAAATGGAGCACCAGAAGGTAGCACAAAGGTTGAACAGAAAATTGCTCTAGATGAAAGTAGACTCAACAATTTTGAAACAAAAGATTCCTCGAAACCCAACTTTTTTGCGAATATTGTCCTTGAATCTAGATCCAGGCTATATCAAGCCTTGCTGTGGAAGTCTTAATTTCGTAGGAAAGTGCATGCTAAAGGTATTGGTTGGTTGAACTCATCAACAATTCTTGTTGTTCTGCAGTCGTTTGGCTTTAATACCACGTCACTGTTGATGCAGCCATTGTTTTTGATGAAAACGGGCTCAGCTTTTGCCCATCATATGACGGACATCATCAGATCTGAAACTCATTCTTTCGACAGTCTCGAGTTAACATTAAGTCAAGACACTATCCGGATCTAGCCTACATGTTTTATATCTTCATAATGTAATATATAGGTATTGACAGATGAAGAATAGTTTAGCTGGTTCTATTTCATGTTAATCAGGGTAATCATACTATACTATGTCTTTTTGTGTTAGCGACTGTACCAAAGAATATATTTAGCATCAAATTTTTCCCCAAAATGTTACCTCAAGAGATTAATCGAAACCCAGCTACTCTTCGTAAATTAGGACGACCTTTCTCGATTGACAAAGGTCTGAGTGACCAGAAATGGACCTAGTCTCTATTCACTTTATAGAGTTTACAATTCACTCATTCTGAGTGTATTCACACTCCAAACGACAATATGCCTGGCCAGAACCCCGCTGTTAAGGAATAGAGGCTTACGGTAGGTTTTAACTACCGTTCCTCCCGGAGCAACCAGCTTTATCATATGCACATTAGATCAGTAATAGTTATGCTATACAGTTGATAGCTTTTATGACACACCAACACACAATCAGTTAGATCGAGGAGAAGTGATCAACTCACCCCTTGTGTGAACTACTGCTGCTGTCCCCCTTACCACCTGAAAGGTCAAAATAGGAAAAACAATCTCGTGTCAGAGTTGAGATAAAACTTCTTTGGTAGTTCAGGCTTAGACATGTAAGTTTGTGGGCAGGCAGGAAACGGTGACAGTCGCATGCATACTGACACGTGCACAACGGCCCATGCGGTTACTGTGATAGGATCGGTCATGTGGTATCAAAACAGGGGCCAGCATGAAACAAAATCCCATCTGCGTGGTCATGTGAAAAAGAGGCGCTTTTGACGACAGAATAGAATGTTTCCAAATAAAACTGTGCTCTGATCCAAAAACTGTCAAGCTTTCGGTTGACATGTCATCATCTACAGCTTGTCTCTTCACAAGATCACCTACAAGATTGTCTACCCA